GAATGAAACTTATTGCTGTAAAACGGGAACAAGCGCTCTTTCAAGAGATATGAAGATGAGCTTCACGAATACCTAGGCAACCAATATTACACTGAAGGAAATGGAACATCTTTAGTGTCTCTCACTAAGTGCGAGATTGTCTGCCTATCTTTTGTCTAAGCTCAGCCGAAACCCTGGAAAATCCTCATGTAAGCTAATTGCCTTAGTTAAAATCTGGTGGTAGATGCATCAACACTGGATTTGCAAATTTACTTGACAGCTGAAGTTACCTGACACCTGAAGTCTGGTTGTAGTTTGCGCATAATCTACGTTGAGATATTGGAATTTTTTAATATGCCCTCTCCATTTTAGATCAGAATGGCTCAACATGATCTTCATTTTTCTACGGCATGTCATTAACAGGAAACGACGACTTGTTGACTGTTACGAGTTAAGAGCCCTTGCATCGTGTGGTGATTTTGCAAAAATAATTCTTAAAATTACTAGATTTTTGGTCAATACTATTGAAGGTATAAGTGAAGGTTTTAGATATTCGAGCATTTGAGGCTCATGGCTTCATGTTGTGCTTCTCCGTTTGTACAGAAGTTGCTAGAAGGTGACGATCCCAGGGAAACTCTCCTTAAAGTTCAGAGAGGAGCGGAGGTGTTCAGAAGACCAATTGTCCTGATGGGGGAGAAATTATCTGGTGAGTCCTTTTCCTTATTTTTTACTTTGCCAAAAAACCAATGATAAAATTAATCTAAGAAGTGCTCATGATAGGAAAGGAACTACAATAAAAGATTAATTTTAACAGTTATATGTCGTCTGACAATGGACAGAAGATTTGCGGTGAAGAAAATGGAATGTATCGGTTACATTTTCGGTCAAACCAGTATTTCCTAATATTGGTAGTTTTCTATGCACCTGATGATTGATTTATTTTTGTACATTCGGGTCTGGGTCATGTGAAGCATTTAGATATTTTGAGTTTAGCTCTTACATTACTACTTTTTCCGACTTAATTTTACATGATCTACATTGGTTTTTGAAATGGAGACCGTTTTAAAAATAATTCCTGACAAGAGGGCAAGAACTTTGTTTCCTTTTGTCTCTCATCTATATACCTATAAAAATTCCAGATATCCATTTAAATTTTAGAAATCTTTTTTATGTAGGTTTTGGAATCCCATGGGCTTGTTTGTCAAATATGCATGTCTAAGTTCCAGCAGTGGAAGCCTCTTCGTGCGTGCTGCTAATATCTGCAAAATTAAATGTTAAAGACTGATAGGATAAGAGCGTCTTCTTTTATGATTTAAAGTACAACAATGGCAGGTACTTAAAGACAGCTCAGGCTGAAGTGAGTAACGTAACTCCGATTGTTTATAGTTAATGCTATTTCGAAGTAATAATTTCGCAATCTTCTTGTAGAATCTAAAATGTACACGCAAGGGGTAGGATTGAAAATATAGTGTTGGACAAGATTCGTTCGAGAAGATGGAAGACTCGGTGACTGGTCTGGTGTTTTCTTAGGTAATCATACAACTTTTCAGAATGAAAGTAAAGTAAAAACGCAACACATGCTCCATTTGGGAGCACAGTGACCAAGTACAAGGGACACATGAATGTACAACGCTCGAATTTTCGATTGCTGTTTCGTTGCTGAAGGAGTGATTATTAATGACGTGAGTTCTTGGAATGAAGAGGGCATTGCTGACATGCATCAGAAGGGATCTCTGCGCCTAATCCTCCAAAATGAAATAATATTTTTCTAAATTATTTGCGATGGTCTTCCAAGCTATACTTGACAATCATCATCATTTACCTATTATACTACACTTTGATTAATAAAATCGGGACACCCTAAATATTTTATTATCACTTTTATTTACATAAAATTTTCAATATAACAATTCTAAATTTAAAAAGCTTTGTATTTCCGAAAATTTTTGCAAATTAAAGTTCACTTTTAGTCGATGATGATGATTTTGATGCCATTTTATATATGTTGCAGCAAACCCTGAAAAATGGCGTTCAGTGAAGACAAGCATCTTACTAAATGTTCAACAGAGTAAACATTATGGAGCGGACATTTTGAATACAAGTTGTGACTATCATTATGATTATTTGTTTTAAACTACAATCGTTCATAATTTCATATAAAAAATACGAGAATTCCAGTAAAATAATTTAGGGAGTCACGATTTTATGAATCACGGTGTAGTTCTTCAGTTGCATTCATTCTCTCCTTTCGTGTCTACGTCGCTGAAAAGCTTCCGAGAATATGAATTGCCAAATGGAATTTACATTATTAGGTTTGATATAGAGAAGAAACAGGAGCTTTCCTGGACGTCTCAAGTACAAGGCTCAAGTTATATGTTTTGGTCTTTAGATTTTTAATCACAAGGCCGGAACATATGACAACCCTGTCTTTCCACGAATGTCTCTTTCTCACCCTCTAGCATCCCAGATGTGTCAATGATCATTTATTGGCCTTTCCTCATTTTTGATCAAGAAGCGGCTATTTCGTTATTTGAACGGGAACAAACTTTTAGCTGGGACTCAGCAATCGCTGCTTCCTTCATGAAATAGTCCCCTAAGAACACTTTTAGCTTAAAATTCAACAGGGAACAAGAATATAGTTCAAAGCGGTTCTCCCACTATCCAAACCTTGGTCATTATAAGCATGCAATGAATGTCTTCCAGGGACCTTCCTTCCCCAAGGAGAAAACGACAATAAGGACCTGCAGTGCTTACTACTTTTCGCACATGGCGACTTGCAGCATGTCACCATCCGCCCTGTTGTTCCAGAACGTAGTGAGTCATTTTTCTTTTCATCATTTCTTCTTCTCTACCTGCCCTAAGGGTCAGTCCATTACCAGAACAATATTCAAGCCATTTCCTTACCTTTCCATTTACTTTATCCCTAAGCATCAAGTCACTTCTGGGTTTGGGACATTGCAAAGTTCATGCAACACACTGAAGGGTGATTCCTAGTTTCAATCAAAGATAGCCGCCTTGCAGTTTTTCCTTACAACTTCTGATCCAAAGCAGCAACTGCAGCCCCATCCAGTTAATTTAAAAACATAGTTGAGGAACCATTCCTCCACACTCCCCCCCACCCAGCGAACAAGGTGTCCCCCTAGGTGATGTCAAAAAAATCCTCAAAATTGCACCTCCCAGGAAATGAAATATGCCCTTTTTGTATACATCAAATCAGCACAAAGTGTGAGTCAGAGTTTCACTTTGCCCGTCTGGACAAAGAAACTCGTAATTGTCAGGTCTATGGCTCACTAAAATCAATTTAAATGATTTATTCCTTTGAATCTTTCAATTCTGGCGCTCACACACACCAAAGTGGTAAAACTTCTTTGCTTATCGGTATATTCTGTGGCAGCAAGCTGCTTCTGATATTGAATTGTTTGCCTTCACGGGCCTCAGGATGCAACATTGAAAAAACGTAGATTCTGTTCGCCCCTATAGAAAAACATTGAAATTTCCCTTCATCCAATGCATTTAAAAAAAAATAGTAAAAAATATTCATTCCGCAAAATACTTTGAGGCAACGCTTCCCCCATGGGGTACTCGATGGTAGCGTACTCCAATAGTATGCTTTTCTCTGAATTCAACATTCAAAAGACCACATTTACCAAAACTCATGCATCTATACGTTCGCGACCGGCGCTTCGTCGCGGATAAAATGTCAAATGCACTTTGGGTCGTTTTAATATTTCGTCGCAGGCAAAGGTAGTTGCACTGGCGAAAGGGGTGAAAGCAAGGTGAATAATAGCCTAGAAAGGAACAGGACCCTGGTTTTCCTGATGGATATCGGCTAGAAAATTGAAGGAGAGGCAACAGGTCACAGTAATATTTGACGCTCTTGTGAGTTATTTATCTTTCACATGCGTGCATCTAGAGTAATGTGAACGGCGCTGGAATACCTCAAGGAATCCAACGGTAAAGAAGTGCCTCACTATGAAGGTTATCTTCGTGCTGTAGAGAAACGAAGTTTAAATTAGATTGCACGGAGATGTGTCTTGCGAAGCTATAAGGGTAGGATGCACACAAAAAATGACGGTGTGACAAGTCACCCACTAACCCGTCACAAACCCCAAACATGCACTCTGTTCCGATCGCGTCCTCGTGGCAAAAGCAGTTGGGGAGCTGAAGGCCGCCGCTCAAAGTTCTCTGGAACCCATGCATGGACTTGTGCAAGTTGTATTTCATAAAGTTCCTCTCACTGCTGCTGGAGAAGCCCCATCTGCACGCACTATGACAAGAAAGGTTCGGCGAAAGAGGACACAGTTGCTGGAACATAATGTACAGGACATTTCATTTAAATTGTACATCTTTGAAAGCTCATATCTCTGAAACGACGCAACCAATCTTGATTAAAATTGACCGCAATATAGAACAACTTCTGCCAAAATATTCCACAGAGTTTCTTAATCGTGGCCCCCTCTATAAGATTTAAAAACTGATTCTACCAAAATCTCTCAAATCAAGATTTTATCAACTTTATCAAATCTTTTAATGCTCATCATCAGATTCTGCCTTGATCCAGTAGCCAGTGAAATGATGAAGTGAAAGCTTCATGATTTCATTGCATCTCTTTACTGAGATATCAAATTTCAAATGTGATGGCAAAAAATTCTGACATCTTCCAATTGACGGATTTAGTGTTACCCAGGATGAACCAACATGGAGGTAGCCGTCGTTCATCCCATGTGGAGTTTTTTTCAAGTGGTTCCTCCACAACGCCATCCAACATCAAACATTCACAATCAGGAGATTATCCTTTATGAGGCTTGATTTGCTTGCCGTCAATCTCAATGCAAACCTGGCTTCGATTGAGGACTGAACGGTAGGCTTTCTGAACCATCCTCAGGGATGGTGTCGAACTCCTCCTCAATGAATTCTTTCAATTCAGGAGTATACCTAGGAGAACGGGCGAAAACCCAATCCTTGAGATATCCCCAGGCGAAGAAATAAGGGGAGTCATATCCGAAGATCTTGTCGCCCATTCGACCAATCCATTCCGGAAAGGTCTCATCCCGAAAATTTCGAACTGTTCGAGCGTAATGGGGATGAACGCCATCTTGTTGGAAGGTGAGGCGTTCAAATTCCTCTCATTGGGAGATCACTGGAAGGATATCTTCACTCAGCATTCGGAGGTAGGTGGTACCTGTCACCGACTGATGAAAGAAGATCGGTCCGACCTTTTCAGTCGAAGATATCCCCGCTCAAACCATCAGCTTCTGTGCGACCAAATTGTCCGCCTCAACACATCGATTGGGATTTTGCGAGTCCCAATAAGCACAATTGTGGCGGTTGACCGTTTCAACCAGGCTGAATATTGTCTCATCACTCCAGCAAATGTTGTCTTTCCATGAGGAATCAGCCTGGTCACGTTCAAGAAAGAGTTCTGAAAATGCAACCCGACGTTCAAAGTCATGCTCATGAAGTAAGCTTCAAATGTTAGGGCTTGAACTTCAGATCCTTCTTGAATATCCTCCACGCTGATGTTTGGGACAGCTCAGCTCAAGTCCGACCATCTCAGCCCCCTCAATCTGGTTGGCCGCATAGTGCACCTGCGCTGCCTCTCGCACCCCCTGATTATTTTCTAGGGTTCGCACTGTCAGCGCGCGCCACCTTGGATGGAGTACGGATTCGAACGTCCGGAAGTCCTGCTATATGTTTGCAAACACTAATCTGCTGATTAGGACAATTTGGAATCTGTCAAGACGTGTTGCAAAGACTCATGAGTTATCACTGGGAGATTTTCTGATTAGGAGATATTGCTCCAAAATATCGATTTTTTGCTCTTTGGCGTAATGACTAGCCATGTTATCTCGCTGAATTAGTCCTTAAGTCACACTAACATTATCCCAGACTGCAAAATGTTTCAATGGCTAAGGTTTGACGATCGATATATCAGTAAGGAGATGAGATAAAATCATGAAACTTTCAGGGCTATTCAGGTCAATTTTAATCAAGATTGGTTGCGTCCTCTCAGAGATATGAGCGTTCCAATACGTAAATTTCAAATGAAATGCCCTATATATTACAACAATAAATGGAGTACCTTTCTTGCAAGTCTCTGAGCCTGACAGCCTCGAAGTATTCGCAACTGATAGCGATGTACGAATGCTGCCTCTCAATCCAAATTGGTTTGATGATGGAACATTTAAAGTTGCTCCCGATGGAACCCACCAAGTATACCATTCATGCACAGGTGTCAGGGAAATGCATACTTAACATGTTTTACTACCTTATAAGCATAAACAAGTTTCTTGAAGAGTCAATCCCTGATCCTTCTGAAATAGTGGCTATATAGGCGCCACCTCGCATCAACGGTGGGAAGCTTTTTCGTTGCAATAGTTGCTGCATACCAGGCATCTCACCATAACAGTGGATTTTTTTTTCAGCTTAAGGCTTATGGCCAAGCCTATGGCCCAGAAAGTTTGCCTTTCTGTATATAGCGTAGCGGGCCTCACGCGTTACCGCGAAGCGAAACGCACGTATTATTATTTACACTGCTGAGAGGTTAATCTGTGGGAAGCTTTTTGGTCAAAAAACTGAGATAAATCATCATGAGTCCTGAAAAATGTTGGTTGCCGTCTTAGCGTCGATGTGTGGCCTAAATGGGCAGCCCACTGCGATGTGAGCCCTAGCTCCCTCACTCTCAGCCAAAGTTGGCTCAAGTTGTGTGCTGCCCGGGTCCTCTGTCATACTAAACTGTCATGTTCAGTGGATTAAATGTTTTCCAATTTTTAATAAACCTAAATTCCTCAAGAGTTCAGAAATGCTGTCACTTTCAGAATTTGCATGGTCTTGTCTATGATTCCTTTCGCTTGAAAGGAGTGATGCATTTTCAATAGGGAATTTGTGTTTGCTTCTTACTACCCCCTAATAGTCACGCTGTTTCACCAATATTCCCTTCCTCCTTTCATGGTCCTAGAATGTGGAATTGTATGGATGACACTGGAGAATCTCCCACCGGTGTATGGAGGTCGACCACTTCCATCAAGCAAGAGAATTTTATTCAGAGGGAAGATAAAAGTGACATGGCAGAGGCACACAATTGCCATTTTATGGTCCATGGACAGGCAGCTGGCAGGTTTGCATCCGCTCAACCCAGGTAAGATGGGAATCATGGTCTCCCTCTTCTTCCATACCCTTCATGTAGTGCTGACATGTCATCTCCTACTTGAGATGCTAAGTGGTGCTTTGTGTTGAATTAAAGCCACAACAATAACCCATAGCACTAGTGAGCGTAAATAATGCGACATGATGTGACGTAACATGATGAATAGATGGGAAAGAAAGCCAATACTGACCATCTTCTAGCAATTAAGGTAATATCCTTGTAAAACCCATCAATTCTTCACTACCTTTCTCCTAGCCGATGGTTCATCACTGACTCGTCGTAGGATACTGGTTTTGTAGCTGGCCTCATCCACCTCTGTCATCAGGTTTTGTAGAAAAATTGCCGTTTGTGAAGATAGTTTTTTTTTTACCTTTTGACCACTAATGAAAGAAACAGATTGTATATGAGAATGATGGCCTTAACACCAGTGGCGGCTCGCGATATTTAGCGCTAGTGGTTCGTCTATGGAGAGGGGGTAGGCAGAGGAGGTCGCTGCCTACCCCCTCTCCATAGACGAACCGCTAGCGCTAAATATCACCAGCCGCCACTGCTTAACACAGGTATCACGAAATATTGATTCAACATTGACAGTGTATGGATTCAATGTATCTCTGTTGACGGTTTGTACATCCACGCTAATCGCCATTGATTGTTATCCAGTGGAGCGGTGGTTAGCAGAGGCCGATAGATTTGGTGGAATGTGGAGACCCTTTATTCGGACATCCCCAATTTGTTCCCATGCCCCATTTAGAATCTCCAGAGGAAGCGTGAAATGCTTGCATTCCATTTTTCCTAGAGGCGTCTAGAGGCATTCTCTCCTTAGTACTATTCGAGATGATTCGAGGAACTCTAGATAGGTCTTATGCTTCATGACCTCACAGATATAGCTCATGAAATTAAAAAACAGGGCTTTAAAAGATCTAACATACCGAGTCCTCCCTGAAGTGGATCGTGAGAGACTCACAGGGCCTGCGATTGGCCTAGTCTTACACGTTCCTCGATGAAGTGTCTCGAAGACCAGAGGTTAATCCTTTCGGGCTTAATTGGCCCCGTAATTCGAAAATAGATTTTCTTTTGAAAGAAAAAAAGTAGGCGTAGACCTCACCCGTATACAATCCTTCGGTAAGGGCCTATGCCTAACGATTAATAGTCCCGTAGAGAAGGAGAGGGATGGGAAGTGGAGTTGAGTAAAGGGAGAGCATTTGGAAAATATACTCTCCACTTTTAACATTGCTTGTACGAACAGAAAACTTCGGGGTGGACGAACGTCGTGAACTATTGGAATTAATAGGTAAGTTTGTCGTTTCTATTGTAATTAATGCAAATTTCCAAAAAAATCTAAAAATCGATCAATATTTCCCTTCCCAGACAAACTCGGAGGCTTGGAGACGAGAAAGTTATTGGAATCCTTCGGTGCGTGCAGTGTTTTACGAGCACGACATAGCCCAAATTGATTTCGATTAACGTCTTTCTTTCCCCTACAGGTGCCTTAGATCCCGTCGATCGAGCAAGATTCTTGAGAAACATTGGCAAGAACATGGTTTTTCCTTTATTTGTCTCCCGCCAAGCCTTCCTAAGTAAAAGAAAAATAATATCCCCTACAGCGAAACTGAGTCCCGAGGAATCATTTAAGCTGATGAGGAATATAGGCAAGAACGTGTTTATTGATTTACCCTTCATCATTCCACTGCCGAACCTATTTTATGCATACGTTATCTTTCCCCTACAGATCCACTAGAACCCGTCGATGGAACAAGATTCATGAAAAACATGGGCAAGGGCTCTTTTCTTTTTCCGTTCCAAAGCCAGGCTGACGTTAATTTCCAATTATTCTCTCGCCTATAGCAAAGCTGACTATCGATGAGTTTGTGATGTTGCTGAGAAACATGGGTAGGAACTTAATTTTTCTCTTTTCCAATATCCCCCCCCCCCCCGAGCCAAATATAATACGAAAATTCCTTTTCCCATAGAGAACCTGAGTCGTGAGGAATCTGTCACGTTCGACGGGTTCGAGTGCATCTGCAGGGAAAAAAATGAAATTATAGTGGGCGCNCCGAGACTATTTAAAGTCAAAATTATACTTTTCTCAACAGCAAAGCTGTCTCTCGAGGAATCTTCCATGTTGGTGGATAACATGGGCAAGTACATGATTTTCCCCTCTTTCTATGCCCCAACCGATTCATTTTTATTTAAAAATGTATTCCCCCTACAGCGAAGCTCAATCCTGAGGAATCTTTTTGGCTGCTAAGAAACATGGGCAAGGCTGTTGTGTTTCCTTTTTTTGTCCCTCCGCCATGCAACTTTTAATTTTCACATTTTTCTTTTCCTTAAAGACTTGTTGGACAAGGAATATTTCCGCCTATTCCTGAGGAAAGTTGGTAAGATTATATTTCCCATTTTTCTCCCCTCCAAACGAGGTTATTTTCACTTCAAACTTGCATCTACCCTATAGAAAAGCTGGGTCCCGAGGAATCTCTTCTGCTGCTGGGAAATTTTGGCAAGAAATATTTCCCCCCTTTCTGTCCTCCAAACGAAAGCATTTTCATTCCAAAATCGCCTTTCCCCTACAGGAAAGCTGAGTCTCGAAGAATCTTCTATGTTGCTGAGAAACTTGAGCAAGAACATGGTTTCTTCTTCTCTCGAATCATTCCCCACCGAACCTATTTTTAATCTCTTTTTCGTTTCCTCCTAAAGCGTTCATGGATGATGATCATTTCGTGCAATTGCTGAGAAACGTGGGTAAGAGCTTGCTTTTCTCCTTTTCCTTTTCTCACGATTATCCTGTTTTAATTTCACATATTTCTTTCCACAGAAAAGCTGAGTCCTGAAGAATATTTTATATTGCTGAGGATCATAGGCAAGAATATACTTTTTCCGTTTTTGCTTCCATCCGTTAAGCTTATTTGATTTCATTTTTTTCTCCTTTAAGCGCTGCCGGATGAGGGGGATTTCACAAAATTCCTGGAAAAAACAGGCATGAACATGTTTTTCCCTTTTTTTTCTTCCCCGCTGATCCTTTTTTTAATTTCAAATTTTCAATGTCCCTACAGGGAAGCTGAGTCCTGAAGAATCTTTTATGTTGCTGAGAAACATGGGCAAGCGTATTGTTCTTCCCTTTTTCCATCCCCCGCCAGCCTTATTAAAAATAAAAATAAAAATTGTTTGCAGGGAAGCTGGGACTGACCGGAGCTCGCAATCCGTTCGCGATTCTGAGTATGCAGAGTTTATTTTTAGCTTGTGCCTCTCAATTCTTAAAAATGTGGGATCATTATGTTCATTTCTTCTAGCCGAGCTTGGGGTTATCCGAACCCACAATCTACTGAGAATATTTTGTATGAATTTTTAATTATTTATTATTTTCTCCTCTCTGTAGGAACTAATGGGACTTGTTTCATTTCAGGTCAACTCCTGCCGATCTTTCGTCATGAAATTCTGGAATTTAATGGTTCGTACCGTGTTCATATTTTCATCTATTCACCTATCCAGAACCTATGAGCATTAAAAAAAATTATTTTATCATGGTTTTCTTTGCCTCATTATTTTCTTCTAGATGATCTCTGGCTCCCTCAGACCAAACTTTTCTTGCAAGGAATTGGTAAGTATGAGATCATTTCTCTCTGCTTGTGGGAGCCCTGCGGAAGCGCGTTGTCAAACATGAACATTTTTTCACATTCTCTTCTCGAGACTACTATACTGACCCACCCTCCGTATTTCGATATTTTTGCTTCGGTGTGAAAACCATGGAATTCCGTTCGATTTTATGCCACACCCACGATATGGAAACTGTAGCACGCCGCCTGTACTGTAACGCCCAAAGGACACCGTATTGGAATCATTTCTAAAAGTATAGATTTCCTTGTGAACTATCCATCATATATCCATTAACCGTGATGCGCACCACCAGGGGACAGCCGAGTTCTTCAAATATGTCAAGGGAGCCTCCTTTTTCCGGACTCATGGACTACCATCACTCATTTGGGCGTTCCACTTCCTGCTTCACTGTATCCTTGCGTTTAACGTATTCTTATGCCTGAGCACTCAATACTCACTGAACTGAATAGCTTCCCCGGAGTTCCTTGTTGAAACAGTTACAGTCCCTCCATTCTCCGACAGTACCACCGAAATATTAAGTTCTTAAGCAACGGTAAATCTACCGAAAAATGTATATTATGCCGCAATAAACTACCCTAAGTTGTCTCATTTTCTGTTACAGGTGAACATATGGCGAACGAGCTTTTTGAATTCCAGGAAATTATTGGTTTGTAGGACCNTATTCTTTGCTCGATATATAAACTGTGAATAATCGGTGCGGCTATTTTGGCCCACCCTGAATCTACTGAATATAAATATATTTCAATTTGTCTGTCCTCACGTTAAAAATTTTAATTTCAAAGTTTTCCTTCCCATACAGCGAAGTTTAATCGCCAGGAATCTAATGCATTGCTGCTGAGCATGGGTAAGAACATGGGTTTTCCTTTTTCCGTTCCATTGCCGGCAATATTTTAATTTCACTTTGTTTGCTCCCTATAAAGCAATGTTTGGCGAGGACGATTTCGAGTTAGTGAGAAATATGGGTAAGAGTGTTGTTACTTTTCCTTTTTTGCTATCCTCCCGCCGAGCCCATTTGCTCAAAAAGTTTTCTTCCCCCTACAGCGAAGCTCAGTATCGAGGATTCTTTCTTGACGCTGAGAAGCCTAGGCAAGAACATGGTGCTTCCCACTTTCATTCCTCCCTCCGAGACTATTTAAAGTCGAAATTATACTTTTCTCAACAGCAAAGCTGTCTCTCGAGGAATCTTCCATGTTGGTGGATAACATGGGCAAGTACATGATTTTCCCCTCTTTCTATGCCCCAACCGATTCATTTTTATTTAAAAATTTATTCCCCCTACAGCGAAGCTCAATCCTGAGGAATCTTTTTGGCTGCTAAGAAACATGGGCAAGACTGTTGTGTTTCCTTTTTTTTGTCCCTCCGCCATGCAACTTTTAATTTTCACATTTTTCTTTTCCTTAAAGACTTGTTGGACAAGGAATATTTCCGCCTATTCCTGAGGAAAGTTGGTAAGATCATTTTTCTCCCCTCCAAACGAAGTTATTTTCACTTCAAATTTGCATCTACCCCATAGAAAAGCTGGGTCCCGAGGAATCTCTTCTGCTGCTGGGAAATTTTGGCAAGAAATATTTTCCCCCTTTCTGTCCTCCAAACGAAAGTATTTTCATTCCAAAATCGCCTTTCCCCTACAGGAAAGCTGAGTCTCGAAGAATCTTCTATGTTGCTGAGAAACTTGAGCAAGAACATGGTTTCTTCTTCTCTCGAATCATTCCCCACCGAACCTATTTTTAATCTCTTTTTCGTTTCCTCCTAAAGCGTTCATGGATGATGATCATTTCGTGCAATTGCTGAGAAACGTGGGTAAGAGCTTGCTTTTCTCCTTTTCCTTTTCTCACGATTATCCTGTTTTAATTTCACATATTTCTTTCCACAGAAAAGCTGAGTCCTGAAGAATATTTTATATTGCTGAGGATCATAGGCAAGAATATACTTTTTCCGTTTTTGCTTCCATCCGTTAAGCTTATTTGATTTCATTTTTTTCTCCTTTAAGCGCTGCCGGATGAGGGGGATTTCACAAAATTCCTGGAAAAAACAGGCATGAACATGTTTTTCCCTTTTTTTTCTTCCCCGCTGATCCTTTTTTTAATTTCAAATTTTCAATGTCCCTACAGGGAAGCTGAGTCCTGAAGAATCTTTTATGTTGCTGAGAAACATGGGCAAGCGTATTGTTCTTCCCTTTTTCCATCCCCCGCCAGCCTTATTAAAAATAAAAATAAAAATTGTTTGCAGGGAAGCTGGGACTGACCGGAGCTCGCAATCCGTTCGCGATTCTGAGTATGCAGAGTTTATTTTTAGCTTGTGCCTCTCAATTCTTAAAAATGTGGGATCATTATGTTCATTTCTTCTAGCCGAGCTTGGGGTTATCCGAACCCACAATCTACTGAGAATATTTTGTATGAATTTTTAATTATTTATTATTTTCTCCTCTCTGTAGGAACTAATGGGACTTGTTTCATTTCAGGTCAACTCCTGCCGATCTTTCGTCATGAAATTCTGGAATTTAATGGTTCGTACCGTGTTCATATTTTCATCTATTCACCTATCCAGAACCTATGAGCATTAAAAAAAAATATTTTATCATGGTTTTGTTTGCCTCATTATTTTCTTCTAGATGATCTCTGGCTCCCTCAGACCAAACTTTTCTTGCAAGGAATTGGTAAGCATGAGATCATTCTCTGCTGGGAGCCCTGCGGAAGCGCGTTGTCAAACATGAACATTTTTTCACATTCTCTTCTCGAGACTACTATACTGACCCACCCTCCGTATTTCGATATTTTTGCTTCGGTGTGAAAACCATGGAATTCCATTCGATTTTATGCCACACCCACGATATGGAAACTGTAGCACGCCGCCTGTACTGTAACGCCCAAAGGACACCGTATTGGAATTATTTCTAAAAGTATAATTTCCTTGTGAACTAACCATCATATATCCATTAACCGTGATGCCCACCACCAGGGGACAGCCGAGTTCTTCAAATATGTCAAGGGAGCTTCCTTTTTCCGGACTCATGGACTACCATCACTCATTTGGGCGTTCCACTTCCTGCTTCACTGTATCCTTGCGTTTAACGTATTCTTATGCCTAAGCACTTAATACTCACTGAACTGAATAGCTTCCCCGGAGTTCCTTGTTGAAACAGTCACAGTCCCTCCATTCTCCGACACCAAAATTTTCCGAATTTTGGTGTCGGAGAATGGAGGGACTGTGACTGTTTGGAGGGACTGACCATTCACCGAAAAATATTAAGTTCTTAAGCAAGGGTAAATCTACCGAAAAATGTATATTATGCCGCAATAAACTACCCTAAGTTGTCTCATTTTCTGTTACAGGTGAACATATGGCGAACGAGCTTTTTGAATTCCAGGAAATTATTGGTTTGTAGGACCTTCTTCCTTCTGTGCTTTTCCTGCCGGACGTCCTTGGTTGAAACATTTTCTTCTTTTTTGACAGAGATATTCGGGGTCTGCCAGACGAAGAGCTTGTTTCAAGCTTTCGGTATGTTAAACTTTTCCCTCTCTATCTTCATGCCTGTCCCAGAGGACTCAATTGTATTTATCGCTGATATAGCCCGAATCGAAGAGGACACGCGCTCGCAACTTCTAGAATTGATAGGTATTATTCCTGTAATTTTCCTCTCTCCACTTCTAAGTCCGTACTCATTTCAATAAGAATAATTAATGTCCTTTACAGGAAAGCTTGAATCCCGGAGGAGTCATTGACATCCATTGTCTGCTACATCTCCTTAACCGAGGTTCAAAGTGTTTTTTTCTTCCCTTTTCATGTGATTATTTCAACACCTTTAGAACGGATTCTTCTGTGAAATGTGTCAAATATGAACGTTTTATGCGTAAGGTAGAAATAAACGTCATGTTTTCACGCCTGAACAACGTACGTGAGTCCGCTGATATTCTTGACGGAGTTCAGCGAAAGGGTGTTTTTTCCTTCCATTCCTGTTCTCGGTACTCTCGCATTCTCATCCTCGGTGTCTATCGTTTTCATTCAAGCGCTCACATCACTGTCGTATTTTGCATGCTTAGGTTGCGTGAGTATGACCCGGAAATACCTTGTATTAACCGCCTATCAAGATCGAATTATGCTTCGTTGATGTTTCAAACATTCCAAAGCAGCAATTTCGATCCAAAAAAAAACATTGGACATACCCTCATGGACATATAGTGATAGAGTATGGTTTTAAGCCATGTAAGGGATGCAGTTCAGCTCAATTGAATCGATTCGACCCGCGGATCGAGTCCGTAAAGTAAGGTATGACGATCGAGTTTCTGGTTTGGCTTGGAATCAGGTCGATTCGGAAAAACAGATCTGTGTAGTACTCCGGCGGACAGACTATGAACAAACGTTGACTATTATTATGTAGACTAGCCGACTCGTGGAAGACTTCCTCGTACTCTTCGGTAAGAAATCCCGAGTTCATTCGGCGGTTCTAAAACTCAGTTGCCCTCTCATCGCTATAGGCAGCAGCTCCTGTTTCCCATTATTTACGTGTCCTCACGTACAACTCTTATAGTCTCCTTTCATCCCGCTGAAGGGAAGATGACTTCCTGACCAGGGTAACGACCGGACCTGCGACATCCTTGCGATCCAAGAATAAGCCATCCTGTTCTGTCCCACTCTGATGGGATCCCGCCGCTTTCACCCTCTAAAGTTATTCTCCTTTGCACGCAGGAAAACGGGACTCGAAGTATTGTGCGGGGGGTTTCCTGCATGAAAGCTCACATCGAGGTGTGAACATTACTTAGTTATGGGGGGGGGGGTGCGAAAGTCGTACAATGACTCTCCTATTCCCGTGAACAGATCCGACTATTGCACAGGCCGGAGAGAAAGTGCGAACGTGAGACGTGCACAACAATCCACGAATGTCCTCCACGAATGTCCTCCACGAACTGTTTCCCGGAATTTCCCGAACCCAGTCAGCAGCCCTAAAACTCAGCGGCCCTCTCAACGATATAAAGCAGCACCACCTGCATCCCGTTCTCGAGTGAGAGGCAAAGCATGTGGTATATTCCGATATTCACGAGTTCAGTCAGCGGCTCCATTGACGCTCTGCGTAGCAGCCGCTGACGTACTTCTTGCGCATCCCCCACCCTCTTACGAGGGTCTTGACGCCTATGATACGGACTTTTATCGAGAGGCATTCTTATTCCGTCTCGATCTCGACGACGTGCGTAACGTCGGTGAAGTCCATCTCCAATGATGGACTATGAATGAAATATACGCTAGAGAAACGGCATGCTTACTACGCGGCCGACGGCGTCTTTCCGATCCATGGGTTCCATACAGGTGGGATCCCGCCGTTTTCACCCTCGGGAATCACTCTCCTTGTGAGATCAATAAAAGGACGGGGTACTATATGATAAAGGAGTCGAGATCCCGAAAAATCTAGGATCTGATGATAAGATCTCATCCCGGCGAGGAAGTCATCCTTCCATGGGAATGAAAGGAGACTACAAGTAGTGTATTAAGTGGGGACGTTCTACACGTCCCTGCTGAGAAGTCCGTATCGGATCCTCCGGTCTGTATCGGGAGCAAGGGGTGTGCGTAGAATGCATCTTTCCCTTTGTAATGTCATGGATAACATGGAAAGGCAAAAAGAATGCATTTGGTTTGATTGTGTAGAGGAGAAGTGTGTGTCCGCCAAGTAGGAGGCCCTGGGATCGATTCCAAGCCGCAATATTGTTTTTCTTTCGTCATGCCATCTAAAATCTCCCCCCCCCCCGGGCTATTACGTTCTCGAGAATAGATCCAATGGCCGGAGGGAAGGAAAGAGCGAGACAGACACCCGGAGCCGGGCAGAAGAAGGCGCTGCGCATGCACACTGCGAAAATTCCATATCGGAGGTTTGAACACCCAAAGGGGGGGCGGCGGAAGCATGCCTATGATGCCTATCTCTCCCGTGGTAGTGTTAGGGATGGCATGGAGAAGCGTAATTTAGCCGCCTAGGTAAGGTGGTATAACGGAAGCATACTTGACCAGGAAGTAGTCGGTCCTAGTTTCGGTTCCCGCTCATTCCATCGTTTTTTTCGTCCTCTTATGCCATCTGACCTCTTCCCCTCCCCCACAACCCCCCCCGGGGCTGTTACGTTATCGAAAATAGATCCGACTGTCACAGCGGCCGGGAAAAAAAAGTACGAGCACGAATAGAGGGATATCGGGATACGTACACCCAGAGGCAGGCATGAAGGCGCTGCACATGCACTTGCGGACATACACACAGAGGCCTAACCATATTATATAGGATGGGCTAAAAAAGCCCCAAATTTAAAGTTTAATAACTTGGGCCCCGTTGGGCCAATATTAATTTTTTCTAATGCAACATGAAGCTTGTTCAATTTTCTTTCGAATGGTATATAATATGTGGAGTTTGCTTCAGAGAAATAGCCACAATTACAGTTTTTAAAAAAGTGACGAAATCATTTCTTAAAAATGGGCTTTTACTCCAAGTTCCTTTCCTCAACCTCGAATTCATCACTCACACCCTCACAGACCCTTTTAATGCCCAAAAATCGTTCAATGTGCCTCCCTCCATGATCTAAAACAATCACATGATCCCATGATCTCTCATCAACCAATCCGTATCTTGCAGGGGTGCGTGGGAAAAGGGGGTACACAGGAGAAACAGGCGACAGCAGCAGCGCGATATTGGAAAGAATTCAGGAAATTTTTTCGTCACTTCCTTTTAAACTGTAATAGCGGCCATTTCTCTCCCGCAACCCCCCCCCCACAATTATACATCATTCGAAAGAAAATTAAACAAGCTTAAATTTGCTTTTTTTTTTAAGTGGATATTGGTCTAACGGGGTCCAAGTTATGAAGCTTCAAATTTGGGACGGTTTTTTTTGTCCACCCTTTATATATAGATGTGGCTGGGAGGAAAGGAATGAAACTGGGAAAGTTACCATCCCGATTCGTAAGAGATGCTCAATGCCTCGCGTATGAAACTTTTGAAGTGCTATCTGTGAATGCCGGATGCATCGGTGCTGTAAACTTCACCATCTCCCATGGAGAAGCCCAGACAACGAAGGGAAGAAGGTGAGAGAGGGAAAGAAGGATCGCGCATTGTACAGTATATTGGCAAGTTCAGGTACAATTGGAAAAAATCCCAACATTCAGCAACCGATGCATATATTGATAGAAAGGCAATTTAGGTTTTATCCGAATCGTAGGTATTCCAAACACGAGATACTCTCAAAGGAAAGCAAAGCTCGTGGTCGTTGGCAAGGCTTGTTGCTTTGGGTAAGTTGAATTCCTTATGACGTTTGATGTCTCTCAGATTCCACTCGTGTCTGCCATGTGCCATTTTAGCTTCCGCATGAAACAGTCACTCGCATCTATCAATATTAACATTTTAGGTCTCCCAAAAATGATCAACCTTGCCAAGAGACAGAATTAGCTTAACAGAGAGAAGAGCGGCGAAGCGCCAAGAGGAACCTCTGGTAGGGAAATGGAAACTGGCGCATTTGAATAAAAAAAAGTCCTGAGAACAAAGAAAAAGGATCAATAGCAATGGGCACCAGTTGAAGTCGCGTCGGTCTCCT